CTATGCCAATGTTATGTACAGTATCAGATCAGCATATATTGGAAGGCCTTGATCATGGCTTTCTATAAGCAGCTATGTTTTTCTGAGGAGGATAAGCCTAGGAAAAGGAAGCTGACCTTGGCAGTCCTGAGCTATTGATATCTTAATGAGCACTAACTTTGAACGAGCTGGGTTTTTGATTGCTGTATCCTTTACTCAAAAATCCAATGTGCGAAAGGTCTGACAAGATAAATGTCAGCTGTGACTTACCTCTGTCTCCATGACACCTATTTTTCTATCCTTCTCCCTTTTTACTACTGATAATCGACAACAAGCTGGATGCTTCTGCCTGTGAAGGAAGTGTGTGAATAATGCCTGGTTCATAGGTAAGCTAGGAACCCCAAATGGCTAAGCAACCTAAAGAAACACTTTGAAGAGCCATCTCCCCTGGGGTAGGGGGAGAGAGATGCATATAATGAGACCCTGAGATGGTTGTGGAGTGGAAAATCCAAACCAAAAAGTCATCTATTTCTAACCGTATGATGATATTTGGTTTTGTTTTTACCCTGCTGTGTAGCGTGGTGCTTATGTATCCAATTGCCAGTGACTGAACAGTTTTCTATGGTTACTTGTGTTCAGGATGTTAATGACTACCTCAACCACCTTGTTTCTCAAATATCTTGGGACACAGCTACAACTACACTGCTTACAAAGAACCAAACCGCCTATCTTTCATTTGTTTATATCAGACACAATTATTGTTCACCAAAGATTTTGTCTTCATGAAGATGAGCTAGGCTGTAAACTATTTTCTAGGATGCAAATTGATGAGATTAAGAATTTTGAAATCTCCGCTACTGATGTATAGTGCACAACTGCCTGAAATTATATTGGGAAGGCTACAAGATCTTTCCATTCATCATAATACTGGTGTAAGAGCAACCTAGTGATATCCTTGGTTTCTAATTAGAGGGATTATTGATGAGCTGGTTAGCAGATAGCTGTCTCTGCTATTAATAAGCTAGGGAAAATTCTTATGGTCAAAACTCCTCTGTTATTTCATCAATTTGAGATTGAAATAAAGTTCATTGTTTGTATTTAGAGCTGGTCAGGAACTGGAATTTTACTTCTAAATTTTTTCATTCCAATTCCAAATGAAATGCTGAAATTTCCTGTAAAACAAAAATTCCCAGATTTTTGTTTTGTTTTGTTTGGGACTGTTGAAATATTTTATTTTGTCTTTTGATACTTATTATACTAAATGTATACATAATCAATGTATAAATATAAACATATTTAATGTGTAGACATTGAATCAAAATACTGTCAAAACAAAATGTTTTGACTTTTTTCCATAGAAAATTTTTGTCAAAATCAACATAGCCTCTCAAGTTTAGATTGAGAAAACTGTACTTTCTGTTTATAAAAAAAAAAAAAAAAAAAGGGCATCTCAGGCTAAAATTATTTGACTAGTTCTCCTTGTAATTTGTCTCCAGATTCTTTTGCACAGCCTAATACATATTGCCACATCCCTGATATTGGCAAACTGAGAATTCAGATTTTTCTGTAGCTTTTGCCATGTTATGGGGGAGGAAGACTCCAAAGAAACACAGGAAATACCCAGTTTAATGTGAAGCCATTTTGATGACTTACAAACTAGAATTTTAGTATTTTTATTTCTCAATTTGTCTGTAGTTGAAAATCTTTTGAAGCAGGATGGATGTTAGTTAGGTAACTAAGCACTTAATAGCAACTAAAATCCAGCTGTTAATCCTATATTGCAAAAGCTTTTTGGAGGGTGGAGAGCTTTTCAGATGCTTTTTTTTCTATTTGAAACTCATTCTTTATAGAGTTGCTAGCTTCCATGTAGTTTCTGGATCCCTTTGCTGGGACTTGGTAACTCACTTTAGGTTGCTAAATTGATCAGCCTGCCAGGATTCTGCTCCAACAGCTTTATTTCTGTCGGATAAGCTGCTTTCACTACGTGTGTTTCGATGGAAGATGCAACATTCATGAACATGTTTATATGTACAGTTAATCCAAGGTTTGTTGTATACACACGTATAGACATACGTGTGCTGTGTCTGGAGTCACATGGTTTAGCATTTAGTTTTAATGTGCTTTATACAACTTAACCAGTGTGACATTTGGTCACAGTTTTTTAAGGGGAGCATGTAGATCCTGCCATCCGAAAAATGATGGATCCTCAAAGCTAGTTTATAGTAAATATGCTGCCCTTCCTTTCATGGGGTATTACACCAGCCAATTGGTTCTCAGGAGTGTATTGCAATTTCCACTTGTCTCTCCAGGGCTCCATAAAAGTATTGATGCTATCCCAGACTCTAAAAACTTATCTCCCATCTTGAGAGAGTTTTCTTTCTCCTGTCATGGCAAAAGGGCTACTGAGCAGCCTGGTTTTAAGGCACCAGGTACTCAGCTTTCACATCCTCACTCCCTGTTTGGAACACCTCTGCCATGAGAAAGCAAGTGGCAGGAGTGTGGTTGTCACCTAGGTGGTATTACTCTGACCATTTAGAGCACTTTTTATAGGGACTATGCTCATCCTCTGACCCATGGCAAACCTTTAGGAGGCATTAGTCTACTTGCCAATAGAAGCTTGAATTATCACTAATCCTCTGACCCCAGAGAGCTACCCCATCCCAATTATCCCCTCTGAAATGAAGATTATCCCAAAATTAGGATTTTAAAAACTTCAAAACAGAACAAATCAAATACAATTCTAACTGTGGAATTAGTAGTTACTTTAGGAAACGTTTGTTTTCATTATCAAAAATTTCCATACTTTCTACGTAAGGGTATTTCAGTGCTCAGTTCTCAAAGTTAAATAGGTAAGAAAATACAATAAAACAACTTGCATGTGCCCACATCCCATTAAAGAAATAAAGTATTTACCCCTTCTGTTTTCCACAGGATTAACAAATTTGGCTGATAAGTGTTGTAAATTATCCTGGGACATTACTGCAATTTACTGGGTGTAAATTGTTAAACTGTCTCCCTGCAACTGGCTTTCACGTGAATAGCTCAGATTATTTCAGAAGGGGTGACAGCATTTCCTCAGCTATTGTCACTTCTCTGCCAAAGTAATGAACATAACTCCCATGTAATCCCTAAATCATCAAGCTCTTGGTTTAACTTTTCCTGAATAATTTGCACTGACATTATTTCTGATAGTCTGAAAAATCAAGATAGGTGGGATTTTTTCCCCCCAGAAATGTAACAATAATATGAACCTCTAGGGTTTTTACTTCCCTATGCAGCAGTCTGTTGCAAAGACTAGTGTTTAAACTAATCTCAAAATGGTGCACATAATTCATTTACAAAATTAGTGTATTTCTCAAACACCTCTCTGATGGCATTGTTGAGTGCATCTGAAACTTGATGGTGAGGTGAACAAAATATTTTGAGTGCAAATCTGGTACTGGTGCGGATGGTCAATTTCTTAAAAGCAACCACTAATAATGGGTAATTACATATCTTTTGAAATCAACAATCATGTACCTGGGAGGATAAGAACTAATGCTTTTGGAAGGAAAGTAGTTGAATGGATATGAGCCATTTGATAAACAGTAACTTTGAGGGGGTGCACAAGTCTTAGGACAAGGTATTTATGCTGCTGTTGGAAAGCATCTTTTCTCATTTTACTTGAGGTGGAAGGAATAATGCAGATCTGTAGACCAAAGACTGACTGACTTATTTATTTTTCTCCCAGCATTCAAACTTGGTTGGCATCTGGCAATGAAACTTGTCTACACATTTTGATGTAGAGCATCTGTTTATTTCAGAACTTCATGGCTGTTTGCAAGGCATACAATAGTTCATAGTTATGCAATCGCATGCAAATCTTCATCACCTTGTATATATGAACTGATTTAACAGGCTAAGACTGTTTTCCCTAGGTTAGTGATTTAGGGGGGCTATTAGTTGATTATTATTGAACCAATAAATCAACTCATTCATTCTTATGAAAATTAAGCTGCTAGTGAATTTCAGTCAATGGGATGTACTATTGTAACATGTGCACACAGAATCCCAGGCACTTTATTGGCACATAGTAATAGGAGTGCAGAAAGTTACAGGAGTGGATGATGACCATGTAGTTCACTCATCTCTTACAGTGTTAGCATTTGGTCGTACCCATCTTGGACTTGATCAGGTTCCTGTTAAAATCAGTGGAAAGACTACCATGTAAATCAGTGAAAGCTGGATTGAGACCCACATATTTTCTTTAAAACTTAGTTCTTTTCTTTGGGGGGAGGGAGGGGGAATAAACTGCTAATTCTTTTTGGTGCCTGGCTCTTCCTTAGCTTTAGTGTGCCTTGTAGGCCTTGTATCCTCTTGTCTCTTCGGAATTGGATACAGCTCAATTAGGTCATCTCTTCCTCAAAGAGTGGAGGCATAGCTTTTCTAGTACAAGTTCTTAAATCACTCTAGTTGCTGTATGTGTGGGTAATAGCTTTTTTCGTAAGAATACTTGCCACTTCCAGAGCATTTCTAATCTTCAAAGCCCTTAGCAAACATTATATAATTAAATTCAATGTTGAGGGAAATGGAGTTGAGAACCATCTCCCATGTGCAGCCTCGTCAATCTTCTGTCTCGTATCATGAACTCAAAGGAAATTCTTGCAGTATTTCTCTCTATTCTGGCAGTTTGGTTGCTCTGAAGTATTGTGTCAAAAGTTTGAGCACTATTGCCACATGTTCTTGTATAGATCTGTAAAGTAGTCAAGGTTAGAGTTCTGAATGTGGGTTTTTGTTTTTGTTTTAAATGTCCTGTCATTGGGCAAACTTTGTGCAGTCTATTAGCAAGCAATGTAAAGGACTGCTAAATCAATCCAACTGATATGGCATGTTAGCCTCATCTGTTAACGAGTTGTAAAACATGCAGACAGTCTTTTAAAGATAACTAAGTCAAGGCCTTCAGCATCTAATCTTGTAAGATAAAGTAAGTTAATATGTTATCCTTGCTAATGCTAATAAAAGCATGTGACGTTCCTTTGCAGGAAAAAAGAATCAGAGTCTCTCAGCCATTAACAAGAGGACCAAGTGCCTTTATACCAGAGAAAGAAGTAAGTTTGCAAACTAAAACTACTCTGCATAAGTAGTAACTGCATAACAAAAATATTCAGGGCCAGATTCAGGCATTCTACATCGATTGGGCAGTACCTTAGTCCATGTGGAGTCCCATTGAGAGTCCAGTGCAGTTATTTGTGGACTAAAGGACCATTTAGTTTGAGCATCAGAATCTGGCCCTCAGTAGTAAAAGTCAAAATTTGCTCCTTATCTTCAGGTAGCACCCATTGACTTCTAGACTAACTTCTGTCTTCAGATGCAGACATGCAACGCTCATTAAATCTGTGGGACCTGCAAACACATTATAAACTTTTTAGGAGAAGGACTCATTTATTATTTATACAATACCTAGCACAGTGGGGCCATGCCTTGCTGTAGTCGTTAGGCAGTACTGCAGTATTAATGTTTAGTAATCTGAGCAGGATCTGACTTTCAATTTTCACAAAAGTGAAAGTGTGATTAATTTTGTAGAACACAACTATGTCCGTAATAAAATGTATAGTTCAAAGGTGCAAACTCAGATTGGCTGAGTGAGTAATTTAAATGTTTAAGCCTTGATTGCAGATTGCTGCAGTATACATGAAGCTTGCTACTGTATATGTAAAACTTGCATGCATAGTTCTCTGTCTAGGAGTCAAATCTTTACAGGAAAGCACATTGTAAAGGCAAGTCCTGCTTCTTTTTTTCTTAAAAGAGCTAGTAGCTGTTAAAGCCAGGCAATTAGAATAATAAAGGATGTAAAAGTTAAAACAAAATAAAGGAAAGGCAGGGCTGTAGTGTTTCTTGGAATAGCTCTCCAGTCCTAGGCAGAAGGAAAAGAAATTGCAGGATCCCCACCCATTACTCAGGATGATACAAGTATTGATTATTCACAAAATCCTGTCTGTGGGGATTAGAGAAAAATAAGGGAATGAGCCCCGGATTGATTTTTATCAGGGAAAGATGTGTGTGTATTAACTATGTTTTGAGCCTTTTAGAGACCTTTAATGGTATTGTGTACATTTTAAATCTATAAACCCTAAATGGTTCGATGGTACAGTTCCTGAGATAATGCTCTTCCCAAGCAGTATTGCCACAGTTAAGATCAGCAAAGGCACTTTAAAAAGGAGAGTGCTTCTGACTTGTGAGGGGTCTTGGGCTCTGGAACTTGCTCCCCGTCCTGTAGTCTGCCAGAACTCAGATTTGTTAATTTCTAGGCATGCTGCAATATCCGTCTTTTTAGTGGGCATTTGGTTTATAGGAGTCTGAGCTGAATGTCCATCAAGTTAGGGTCTTTGGTGGTCCACAGTGGGATATAGTTGGTTAGTTTTGCTGTTGTGGGACAGTCCAATAATCAAATGAACTATACTGCAATTTTTAAATTTTGTACTGAATGTTCCCAGTAACATGAGCCACCTAGGCTTGGGATAGGCAATGGATAATAAATCACAGAATTCTATTCTTTTACTTACTTAATTCAGCAGGCTACACTAATAAGTGGGAATATGCCTTCCGTTTTAGGGGTCATTTCTAATAGCTATGTTTAGGAATCATGTCTAATAGTGTATGCCAAAATATGAATTTCCAGGGCTATAATATATTAGACCCATGAGCAATAAGGAGCATTATAAAGACTAAATCTCATGAAATCCTGCTCAAATATTTGAATCTCAAAAAACAAAAAAAGAAATCTTAAAACATGCACTGGAAATGGAGAGGTAGGGGAAGAAGCAAACAAGGATACAGGTTAAATTGTGGCTTGCAGAGAAAAGATCAAGGCAACCAGACTGAGTTACTGCTAGCCAAAGTTGCAAAGGGGAGTGAAAAGGCTTGCACTGATATCACACAGGGATCTGAGAAGCTGATCTTAAAAGCAAGCCTGTAATGAGAACAATGAAGTTTGGACAGCTGGAAAGCATGGAAAACGCCATAAAGACAGATAAAAAGCAGAAAGTGAATATTTTGAATCTGAACATGTAGGTTTTGAGAGAATTCTCTGAGCTTACTGTATCAGTTAAAGTCCGGCATGACAGGAAGGGTCCTGGGATACCATATAAAAGAAGTTAGGGTATGGCTAAAATGTACAGCGGCACTGTTGTAACTCTTCAGTGTAGAGACTACTAACGTCTCCTGTCAGCATAGGTAATCCACCTCCTTGAGAGGCAGTAGCTAGGTCAATGGAAGAATTCTTCTGTTGACCTACCACTGTCTACACCAGGGTTAGGTCAGTATAGCTATGCAGCTATACCATTGTAAATTCCTAGTGTAGACCAGGTCTTAGCCTTCAGAAAGGAGTATAATTCTGCAATTACTATCCCATAAGCTTGGCTTCTATCGCTAAGGAAATAGTGGAACAAATATTCAAACAAATCACTAAACTTCTGTACGAAATTAGAACTATAAACAATAAGCAGTGTTATAAAGACTAAAATTGCTAGGCTGGCTTGACTTTGTTTTTGTGATGGTTATCAATCTATTGGATGAAGGGATACACTTGATATAATTGTAATTTAATGAAACATGGTACATCTCAAAGCTTGAGAAATTAAATAAAATGGACTTTGGTAAGAGCAGTGTGGAATAGATTGAAAACAGAAGGAGTGAAGAAAAAGGTAATGACAAGCATGCATCAGAAGGTGTAAAGGTACTATAGAAATCTGAAAGGGCCTTTTATTGAATCCACAGATGTTACTAATTTGCAAAGTAGTACAGATACCTGTTAGAGCAGAAGAGTAATACTTGTTGAACTAGATACACAGTCAAAAAATACGAAGTCAGCCTGGAAAATGCAAGCTGATATATCTAGGGGGAAATTATCCAAAACCACTTATTGTGGAGATAATCCAGAGAAGCAGCAATGCTCAAACAGAGTGTAGTTCTGTAGCTGTCTATGCAAGGCACAACAATACATAACAAGTCCTCTCTCTCTACAGAAAAATGTAACTGCACGTGAATCAGTTTTCTGTTCGGAGTACTTCCTTACAAGAAAGATGCTGACAAGCTGTAGGAAGTGTAGAGAAAACTGGCAAAGATGATCAGAACTTGAGGAAGAAACATACAAGAAAAGATTGAGACCAATATGCATAGTTTTCCTAAGAGACTACTAACTGGGACATACTTCTATAAATAGTTGAAGGGTGTAATCACCAAGGAGTGAGAGGAATTATTAGAGTGGTGTATAGGGGTATAACAAGGACTAATGGGATAAAATTAAGAACAGATTTAGGTCTGGTCCCTGACTTAAAACTTATGTCAACCTACCAACATTGCTCAGAGGTGTGAAAAATTCACACGCATAATTAAGCTGATCTAAGCCTCAGCGTAGACAGCACTGCGTTGACAGAACCATTCTTCTGCTATCTATTTGCCTATCTGCTGCCTCTTGGAGAGGTGGAATTTCCTACAGCTTTGGAAGAACCTTTTCCATTGCTTGTAATAAGTGTCTACCCTACAGCATTGCAGCTCTGCCACTGTAGCGTTTCTATGTAGACAGCAACAGAGGGTCCTGTGGCACCTTTGAGACTAACAGAAGTATTGGGAGCATAAGCTTTCGTGGGTAAGAACCTCACTTCTTCAGATGCAAGTAATGGAAATCTCCAGAGGCAGGTATAAATCAGTGTGGAGATAACGAGGTTAGTTCAATCAGGGAGGGTGAGGTGCTCTGCCAGCAGTTGAGGTGTGAACACCAAGGGAGGAGAAACTGCTTCTGTAGTTGGATAGCCATTCACAGTCTTTGTTTAATCCTGATCTGATGGTGTCAAATTTGCAAATGAACTGGAGCTCAGCAGTTTCTCTTTGGAGTCTGGTCCTGAAGTTTTTTTGCTGTAAGATGGCTACCTTTACATCTGCTATTGTGTGGCCAGGGAGGTTGAAGTGTTCTCCTACAGGTTTTTGTATATTGCCATTCCTGATATCTGACTTGTGAAAGTGAGGGATCATTGTCCAGGATGGGTTGTAGATCACTGATGATCTAGCTATGTTCGATAGTTGCAGGGATCAGTGATCTACAACCCATCCTGGACAATGATCCCTCACTTTCACAGACCTTGGGAGGCAGGCCAGTCCTCGCCCACAGACAACCTGCCAACCTTAAGCATATTCTCACCAGCAACCATGCACCGCACCATAACAACTCTAACTCAGGAACCAACCCATGCAACAAACCTCGATGCCAACTCTGCCCACATATCTACACCAGCAACACCATCACAGGACCTAACCAGATCAGCTACAACATCACCGGCTCATTCACCTGCACGTCCACCAATGTTATATATGCCATCATATGCCAGCAATGCCCCTCTGCTATGTACATTGGCCAAACTGGACAGTCACTACGCAAGAGGATAAATGGACACAAGTCAGATATCAGGAATGGCAATACACAAAAACCTGTAGGAGAACACTTCAACCTCCCTGGCCACACAATAGCAGATGTAAAGGTAGCCATCTTACAGCAAAAAAACTTCAGGACCAGACTCCAAAGAGAAACTGCTGAGCTCCAGTTCATTTGCAAATTTGACACCATCAGATCAGGATTAAACAAAGACTGTGAATGGCTATCCAACTACAGAAGCAGTTTCTCCTCCCTTGGTGTTCACACCTCAACTGCTAGCAGAGCACCTCACCCTCCCTGATTGAACTAACCTCGTTATCTCCACACTGATTTATACCTGCCTCTGGAGATTTCCATTACTTGCATCTGAAGAAGTGAGGTTCTTACCCACGAAAGCTTATGCTCCCAATACTTCTGTTAGTCTCAAAGGTGCCACAGGACCCTCTGTTGCTTTTTACAGATTCAGACTAACACGGCTACCCCTCTGATACTTGACTCTATGTAGACAGTTAGTCTGAAAAACAACAGAAAGTTTCTGATGGTCAGAACAGCCTCCCAGGAAGAATGGTGGAAGGCCCGTTGCTTGGTACGAAGCACAAAAAGAGGTGTTGCAGGGAACAATTCTTCATGGAAAGGTGATGGGGCTAGTTAACTAGATGACTGAAAAGACTCTCTTCCACCTCTGCCTTCTGATTCTACAAGCTAAAACAAGGAAACCTTAAGGTAAAAAGAGAAGGTGCAGTAACTTGTTCATATTGGGATGTGTGTATATTTTATTCCTTAAGAATAAAACTTGATTTGTCGAGAAACATTTTTCTCTTTGCCAGTTCAAGATTTTTGTGTTAGTTTGTGATGTAGTCACGGAATCAAAAATTCAACAACAACCGAGCTATGTTCGATAGTTGCAGGGATTTTATCTTTTAATTCCTAGTAAACCAGTTGGAGTGGAAAAGAAGGTCATGGTATTTGTAATGATAAACTAGCTACCCTAATGTTCTATTATAGGGAGTTAAAGAATAACTCTTGGTATTCTAGTCCCTTTCTTGCAACTTTTTTTTCCACAGATGAACATGTTTAGAATGGTTGTTCTTTGGTGATAAAACACTGGCTAATAGCTGCTAATGTTTTTTTGTTAAGGCTTGCATTTCAAGAGCTACCGTTCTACCACATGATTTCATCTTGTAGCCCAAGGTCAGGGTTGGCTGGAATGGTTAGTAAAGAAAAGTTTAAAGAAAGCATTAAATTCCTGTATTTAAATAATGTTGTGAGCTTTTAAAAAAACTAGCATTTGATCTCTCTAATTATACAAACATAAAACTGGTAAGCGGCAGACAGACCACTTCTCTGGTTTAGTTACATACTTCAAAGCTAATACGGGGAGGAGTTGGGTTAACGTTTTGGGGCTGAATTCTCAGCTGGTATGTCAGCATAGATACGTTGACGTCAGTGAAGCTATGCTGACTTTCACCAGCTGAGAATATGACCTTTAGAAGGATTTGTGGAAAACTGCGCTCCATTTTTATGGAAACATGTCAAAGTAACATATTGAGCGTACAGCTTCTTTAGATTTCTTATTCTTTAATTTTGTTAAGCATTTTCAGTATGCATATATGCACAAACATCCCAAAGTCCACAGAAGTTGGGATTTGCATGCACAATTGAATTATGTAGGTATCTGTGGTTACTTGAGTGGGTGGGGGGGAAGAGTCTATCTTAGTTTATCTGTTTTAGATTGTCTACTTTGCTCTTAAGGTTATGCAAGCAAATGGTTTGAATGAACGTACTAACCTTCTTGTGGAAGAATACTCAACATCTGGTCGCCTGGACAACATCACACAGGTCATGAGTTTACATACTCAGTACTTGGAGTCTTTCCTCCGCAGCCAGTTCTATATGTTGCGTATGGATGGGCCCCTTCCTTTGCCTTATAGGCACTACATTGCTATAATGGTATGTACCAAGAATCCTTATATTAACACACATTTTCCTCCCTGTCTCCTTAATGCCCCTCCCAAAAAAAAACCCCAAACCTTGTTTATAAATAGACCTGCTTTAACAACTTGGCTTCCTTTCTTCCTATGGTGCAAGCTCTGCAAGCCTGAGTCAGTTCACTTAGGCCGGGTCTACACTACAAACATACATTGGTATAACTAAGTCGCTCAGGGGTTTGAAAAATCCACACCCCTGAGCGATGTAGTTATACCGACCTAACCCCCAATGTAGACAGCGCTATGTAGAAGCTCTCCTGTCAACATAGCTACCGCCTCTCGCGAAGGTGGATTAACTATGCCGACAAGAGAAGCTCTCCTGTCGGCATAGTAGCGTCTTCACTAAAGTGCTACAGCGGCATAGCTGCAGAACTGTACCTGTAGACAGGACCCCAGACTCTGAGACTTGCTGCTGTGTGGTGTTTTTGCAGTGTAGATGTAACCCCCACACCACCTGAGTGTGGTGTTCTGTCCCATCTAGTGCCACCGAGACCACTTAGAGAGAGATTAACGAGTCTGCCCTACAGCTTTAGGTAATGGCCATGTGGCTTTCAGCTCTTGCAGTAGAGGCTTATGCATTTAGCTCCAGAGGTCCCAGGTTCGATCCTGCGTGCCGCTGACTGGGGTCTGTTGGTGTTACATAGACATATCTAAATCTGCTGCCCTTGTAATACCTCTTCCTGATTGTTTTAACTATTTTAGGCTGCTGCCAGACATCAGTGTTCCTACCTAGTAAATATGCATGTTGATGAGTTTCTGAAGACTGGAGGGATTGCAGAATGGTTGAATGGTTTGGAATATATCCCACAAAGACTGAAAAATTTGAATGAAATAAACAAACTTCTTGCACACCGACCCTGGCTGATCACAAAAGAACATATTCAGGTACCCATCAAAATGTATCTAGATTAGCAGTATAATTTTATTAATGAAAAGTGGTAAATAATATGCAAATATCTACTTAGGCTTTATATTTTTGTTTTATAATTTCATTATTAAATGAGAAATCTACATATTTAGTAGAAATTCTGAAGATATTAGGATATTAAATAATTATATGACTATTCCTATCAGAAAAATGTTTGTTTCCGCCTCCCCACCCCAAAATTGGAATTAACACGAATAATTCAGAGTAGAAAATAGGACAGCATATGCGCCTTTATTAGGATGGGGTGGTTTGGGATGAAAGAAAAATTATTTTTGGAGGCAGGGAGTCAGAGCCATCCCATCCATATACATTCTCATACACTTTCTATGTTGGTCTCTAGAGCTCATATATTTAGTCTCTCTATTTTGTTCTCATTTCAGAAACTTGTCAAGACTGGAGAAAATAATTGGTCTCTTCCTGAATTGGTACATGCTGTGGTCCTATTGGCACACTATCATGCCTTGGCAAGTTTTGTATTTGGTAGTGGCATTAATCCAGAGAGAGATCCAGATACGTCTAATGGGTTCAGACTTATAGCAGTCAACAAATTCTGTGTCTGTGATCTTGCCAATGACAACAACATCGAAAATGCATCCCTCACAAGTAGCAACTTTGGGGTTAGTATTGCAAGAGTATTCTTTTGCTTGCTTCTGCTTTGTATTAGGTTTTTTTCCACTCTTTCCTATTTAAGCCTGAATTTTGTTTCTTTTGTATATACTGTTGGAATGCTAGGGTTCTGGTGGCATATAAGATTTTAGCTCTGACAGTTTGCAATATATCAGATTCAAAAATCACATAATTCTGATTACAAGCTTCAGTTGCAAAGTGATTTTTAATCGCTGATCTCCTGAATTACTGGGTAGATTAAGGCTTCTTTTTCTTAGAAAGCTGGAAGCCCTTTAAATAGTATAAATCGCTGTTTGAGCTCCGGAGGCTCATGAAATAGAGGGTGCTGCGATCAAAATGGGAAAAATTGCAACATGGTAATCAGAATTGTGATCTATTTAAAGTCAATGATCTCAAAACAGGCTAATGTATGAAATGCTTCTGCAGATGAGACCAAGTACTTACTTCCAGGATCAATAAACTTTTTTTCAAACAACTGTTTTTTTTTTTTTTTTTTTTCTCCTGAACCAACCAGCAGAAAGAATTTTGACCTCTAGTTAATTATATTGTGTAAATCTGGGTGTTTGTTACAAATCTAATTTTGTAATGTTTTGAAAAGGAGGCCTTAAATTGTACTACAGGTTGATGTGCTAGGCTATTTTGGGGGGTCGGGGACCCTTGGTGCATTTTAATTAGTAGTTCTTAAGTTCACTGCTAACAAAATAAAATAACTTTTCACAAGTAAGAGATTGAAAGGACAGAGAATAACAGATTTAGGTTATCTGAATGATAAATGCAGTAGATTGCAACTGGCCTTTCTTGTCACTACAAGATGTAGTTCTAATATGCAGTCTCTTCCTTGTAATATTTTTATCTTTATATGTAAAAGCAACTAGTTTGGGTTAATAAAACATTAATATAGAATATTGATTTACTTTCCTAGGTTGGGCTTCTGTATTGCTGATGTCATAGACAATATGACTCGTTAGTAAGATGGCTGTCAGCAGCAGTAGAACCAGAAAAGTCAATTTTAATATTAAAAACTGTCTTCCAGAATACATGTCAATGTTTATTCAGGGATAAGTGAATTTTTCTGAACCTTCAGAATGTTGCAACATGCATTATGGATACAGTTTCCTCTTTCAAACAATGTCTGCATTTCTCAATTACCCCTGCTGCAATAAAACAGTTTGATAGGCTTGAATAGTGCTCTCAGGTCTGTCCCTTTTCACTGCTTTTCCTTGTAACCTTTTAGGTATGTCTACACTGCAGTGTAAGCCCAGGCTCAAGCCTAACCCCACCCCTTCATCTGCACACATCATGCTAACCCAGGGCTAAGACCTAGGGCTTCAGGGAACAAGCCCAAATCACACCGGGACTCAGGGTTTGAGCCCTATTGCTTTGCAGCCTCACTTAACTCTTGTTCTGGGTGTCTGCCAGAAGTATCCCACAATCCCATGGGCTAATTTCCTTAATCCTCTCTCTGCCAACAATCTTTAGTTGACTCAATTGAAAATGGAAGCCACCCTCCCCAGCATACAGCAGCAGCTCAGTGAGGCAGCATTAACCCTTCCATAGGGGGGAGGGATATCTGAGTGGTTTGAGCATTGGCCTGTTAAACCCAGGGTTGTAAATTCAATCTTTGAGGGGGCCATTTAGGGATCTGGGACACACCCACACCCACCCCTCTCTCTGTCATTGACAGTACTTGGTCCTGCTACTGAAAGCAGGGGACTGGACTCAATGACCTCTCAAGGTCCCTTCCAGTTCTATGAGATAGGTATATCTCCATCTATTGTCTTCTAATCATGGAGCTGCAAACACACCATCAGAGAGCCTTCTATGGTTGCAATGGAGGCCCAACAGAACAAGCCTTTTGCAAAGCGAGCAGCAAACCTGGAGGAGACAGAAGCCACACCTAAGCCTGGTAAGTTTGACTCCCATTTAAAGTTTATTATTACAGTAATGGGAGGGATTTCTACTCTAAGAACCAATGCAAAAGTTATGAGAAGCCCTGGCTACTAGCATGTATCTGCGAATGGCAGATTGTATCCCAGCGCCTTGTCATCCCCCTTTGTTCTCTCCATTCTCCTTCCCTGCCCCCCCCCCCTCGGTGGAGTTCAAAATGGCAACTGGGAATTGCAAACAATAAAAACCTGCTTTTAAAAGGCTTTTTTTTACACAGATGTTTGCTAGAGTCATTCATGTTTTCCTTTAAGTAATAATGGCTTTAAGTTTGTGGCTCTGTATTCATTCAATGGTCTATGCAGCTGCCTGGAAACAGTGGTGTGTGTGTGTGTTTTCTATTTTCACATGTCAGTTAAAGGTAGTCCAGGCAGTCTGTGGGTGACAAAAAGATTTCTCCCCAGTATGACTGAGGTATGAATTTTTGTCCAGAAATGTGCTGTGAATGGGGAGTGGGAAGGCTGTGGAGTTCTGCGTGTTTGCATGAGGCATAACAGGGTAAGCCATGTGTATGCAAGCTAATGCAGCATTATGTTAATTTCCTCATGGATTCTGACCCAGTCCTGGTTGTTGATGGCTGCAAACTTTTTTCCTGAGGTAGGAACTCCAGATTGATAGTCACATGGTGGGGAAAGGTGTATTTTCCAGGGTCCCCCCAGTAGCTGACTAGTCCACTCCACTCATAGATATGCTGTTCAGTCACTATACGTTTGAATACCTTTCCTGTATACACTGCAGGTTTCCCACCAGCAGCTTGGAATAACATCAGCTTTTGCCAATAGGGCACCACAAGAACAGTTATGTCCTCCAAAATGTGAAAGGCATGAAAGAAAAAGAATTTTGTTGCAAGGCCACTTTCTGTTCGCTCCCCGCCCCCCCCCCCAGTAGTTATTCAGTTTTCATAAAAAAAAAAAGCTTATAATTTTAAACTTACATAAGTGCAGCAACAATGGTAATTGATGTTACCCAGGATATATCCAGAGAGATTCTGTGGACTGAAGCATCCCTTTCACAATATATTTTGGTTCAGTTTTGAAATGCAACATTTTATTGCCTTGAGATTCTATAAGAATCAATTGTTTTCCTCCACTGAGCTATTTTAGACAATAACCCTTTGTTTCTTGTACTATTTCAGCCCTCTTGACCTCCACTGGCTGTTATATATCCAGAACTTGACCCCTGCCCCAACATACCTGCACAGACCATTCCAAGCAGAAGCATTTCCATGATGAAATTATGGTTGAGGTTCTTTAGAGGGTAGACAAGCAGGTCCAGTACCAGCAGCAAAGGGATGTAAGACTGGAGCAACAGCATGCTGAGAGGCAGGAGGAAAGGCTTAGGCTTGCCACACCGCTGGAAGAAAGAGTTTCAGCAAGGGAGCAGGCACTTTCGTGTAGTTCCTGGAACAAGACCGGCAGCTAAGGGAGGAGGACAGAGCTCAATAGTGAACTGTTGCAGAGCCCATCTCCAACATGCCTGGAAGAGCATTGGCAGCTGCTGCCTCTCACACACCCCTGCAATGTACCTTCAGACCAGAAGTAGCTTGGGCAACTCAGTGTTGGGGTGGCCCATACATTTAAGTTCCATGAGTGGCTGGGCAGGGCAACTAAACCCCACGCAGCCTTCATTTGCGAACCCCTCTCCCGTGGCTACCTTCATCCCTGTTCTCTCGGTGCCAAGTGCATGGAAACCAAAGAAAGAAGGAGAATGTAGGACCAGGGGACACGCAGCAGTAAGGCGTCTGTGTCATGTTTCCTGCCCTTATTTTTCTTTGGAAATGTTCTCCTGTTACTTGTTTTGGGGTGTTGTTCTGGCGGCTGCCCTGCCTAGCAATAGATGACTGTTGTACTGTTTTAACACATTTATAAATAAAGCCTTTAATATCATCAAGAAAGTTTACTATCATTGCATCACATGATACCATCATGATTTGAGATGATAAAGCTAAAAACAGTATCAGGAGCAATTACACATTACTAAGCAAACACTATTCCTCATGCATTTAGGTACAGTGATTCACAGTGCAATACCTTCCTTATATGAGCCTATATTGTGATTCACCACCCCCCCACAATTCATTATTTTTTTTCATGTCATTCATAAGTTTAATTGCATGGCAATCAAGCCCAGACTTCTTCCCCTCACAAGAACATTTTTACAGGTACTATTCCCCCTCTTCCACTGAGCCATGCGAGTTCATAATGTGGGAGCACAAAGCATCCCTGACTTCTGTTACCTGGGTGCAGCCAGCTCCAGCTGTGGTAGGTACACTTTCCTGCTGAGTGTACTGATTCAGCAACCCATCACTATCATAGGTCCATTCAGGGGGAAATGGCTCACTTCTGGCTTCACAAAGATTGTGAATAGCATAGCAAGCCACAGAAATGCAGACAGCACTGATGACACTGGCATCCAGACAGGTCTGTAGGGATCTCCAATGGGATTTTATTTAACCTGCCAAAAGCAGGGTCTACCCATATTCTACAACCATTCTGCACCTGCTGAGTGTAATTAAACCTCCTTTTGCCAGGGCCTCTGAAATCAGGGTATGGTTTCATAAACCAAGGCAAAAGGGGTGTGTGTGTGTGGGGGGGGGGAGTTTGAGACTCAGGGTGCCCCAGAATAATGGTGTGGACAGTAACTGTTTAATACAATGTCATTTGGGGAATAGTGTGCCATCCTATCCATGAATGTAGACTCTCAAGCAGCGAAAAACTTTTCTTCATTAACTCTTCCAGTGCAGCCCCTGATGACATTCATAAATCGGCCTCTGTGGTCTATGAGGGCCTGCATAACAGTGGAGTAGTACCCTTTGCAGTGTAGGTTCTCATGTGCTCCTTGAGGAGGGCAAACTATGGGCACATGAGTCCATCAGTGGCCCCAGCACAGTTAGGAAACCTCATTCTCTCAAAGCCAACAATTACCTCAGGAATATCTTTAATGCCTGCCACTTTGTGGTAAACCACGTGCCCGATTGCCTCAGAAAACCCACAGTTGATTTTCCAACACCAAATTGATTGACAACAAACCTGTAGCAGTATGGGGTAGCCAGTTTCCAGACAGTTATGGCAACCTGCTTCTGGATAGGCAAGAGTGCTCTCATGTATGTCTTTACGCTGGTGACTCAGAGCAAGCTGCTCACAAAGCCCCGAAATGTTGCTTTCTTCATGCAGAACTTCTGGACCTGCTGCTTGTCATCCCAGGTCTGCATGACTATATGATCCCACCAATCTCTGCTTGTGGGCATGTGCCGGTTTATGTAGGGGGCATCAGTGACTGTGCTGATTGTACTGAGCAGCATCTGCCAGTATGAGTCTGCCATGTCTGGATACTTCTCCTCTGCCGCCACCTCCTTGCTCCATCATGAAATCTGTCAGGTACTTTTGGTAGATCAGAAAAAGGTGCTAAAATGTCCGCCGGTGCCTCAGAGAAGCTCTATCTGTTTATTGACACAGGAGTGAAAACAGAAGCAAGAAATTCTGCAAAAGGCACATCTACCATGTTGCTGCCCCTTGTAGCTGGGAGCCCACATATCAAAATGTCTCCCTGCAGGCTATGTTGGCAGGCTGTTCAAGCTTCCTTTAATGAGCAGCATGGGCAATAAAATTTTCTGACCGTGCGTCACAGTCAAAGGGCTAGAGCAGCCACGTTTTGGGAGGGTGCTAGGGACTCTGGGAGATGGTTGGTTTGACTTGGGTCAGCGTGCTGCAGTGTGGACATCAGGACCACAGTTTTGAGGCCGGGATACAAAAGTCTTAACGTACAATTTAAAATCCGTGTAGATGCTCAAGTCTAGGGTTCTCTAACACGGGTCAGCTGACTCGAGTCCTACTAACCCTGGGCTTACATTGCAGCATAGACATACCCTTTGTGAAAGACTTTTCATATAATGCATTCAAAGTATATGTACCATATGCTGGATTTTCAAGGATGCAGATAACTTTTGAGAACATTAAATTTGAGCTTTTACTTCTCGACAGCTATGATGCCATTTACTTTCTAATTTTCCAAAATATCTTGGTGGGTTTTTTTTGGTTTTTTTGGTTTTTTTCAGATTGCAGATTCTTTGAGTGAGCTGGAGGCCTTAATGGAAAGAATGAAGAGGCTGCAAGAAGAAAAGGAGGAAGAGGAGGCCTCGCAGGAGGAAATGGCAACTCGTTTTGAAAAGGAAAAGAAAGAGAGTCTTCTAGTAGTTACTGGAGGTACTTCACCCTCTCTGCCTCCCCTTCTTTCTCTACTCCATTATAACTAGAATTCTCCGGTCCAATCCAATTAGTGGACTTTAGCAGTTACTCTAATCTGGATTTTCACAGGTTAGTAAGGCTGGCTCGTGTGTCACTACCTGTCTGATTCAGATTTCTTGATTCTCAAGTATATTAACCTTCATTGTTACTAGAAATTCAGTCTTCTTTTGTTAGTAAGAAACTTGCACACAACTTCAGGAGAAACTGCTTTTTTATAGTGCAGTTCATTAAATCCCAGTTCATTCCTTAATAGGATTTTTGAATAGCAGACTTCTACAACATTTTCAAATAGTGTTTTTGGAAAGTCCCTTGCTAATAGTCTTGAAAGCTGAAATTTTCTGTTCAAAAAATAAGTATAGCACAGACTGTGGCAACGCAGACTTCCCTACATTACTCCATTATTGAGCTTCAACCTTCTCCTGAAGAGACAATCTCAGGGAGAGGGGAGAAGGAGGATGGATTGAAATTATCTAATTTTGAGATGTTGTTTTGTTATCCTATAGCCCTGTCTTGTATTGTGATGGAGGTTTGTATAAAACATTTTAAATTTATTTCTAAGTTATCCTTCAAAATTCAGAGTTGGGGAGTCTGCCTTGCTATGTTTCTCTCTTAAACTTCTGAGAATAATAGTTTCATCCATTGACAAAGTATAGCTGAAGTCTGTTTAACATTACTCCTGGGGGAATTCTGCGCCTAAAAATTCTGCACCAAAAAATTTAAAATTCTGCACCCAATATTTTAAAATTCTGCATATTTTATTTGTCAAAATAACACAATATAATCACATCAGTTTCAGTTATTTTGGTAATTTATTTCAAAATACCTGTCAGCAAGTATGTCTGTAACAATACAGACAACAAAAAAGATTCAGGAAATGTTTTTTGACAAATAGATTCCTTACTAGGCATATTAATACAGAACTCTAAGTAATTCATTTAAACTAGAGAACAGAACCATATTTCCCGGACCCCTCAGAAGCAGTGCAGAGACTTGGGGGAGTCAGGGATAACGGAGGAGCAAAAGGAGAGGGAAGTAATTGCTGGGAAGGAGCCTGGGTATAAACTGGAAGGGTTGTTGTGTATGGGTGGGGAAAAATATGGAACAGGTTTCTGGGGGGAGGAGGGAAGGATTATTCGGGAGTGTCCCCATGGAGACCTTGGCTGACCCCTAGCCTCTCCCATTCAGTCAGGCACATCTGCCTCTGTGCCCCCATGTGTCCTTGCACCCCGTGTCCACATGTGTCCCTCAACCCCCATTCAGACACCCCTTCCCCATATGTCCATGCACTCTGTCCCCATGTCTCTCTGTGCCCCCACTCAGCCATCCCCCTTCTCCCTGTAGCCCTGTACCTCTCCCGCTCTGCCCATGTGGCACTGCACCTCCATTCTCATTCAGCCCCTGCCCAGTCTGTCCTCCCCCACTAGCCCTTATGAGCCCCTGTCTGTGGTCCCCACCCCAGCAGCCCCACGCTGTCTGTCTCCCCATATTTCCTGTGTCCTTGACTTGGCCCAACAGGCACTGTGAAAAAGGCAGGCTCTTTCTCTTCCCTAGCTAGCTGGGGCTTGCCAGGAGCGGCTGCTGTGTTCTAGCACCATAGTGCCCTCTGGTGGGCAAAAGATGGAATTGCATCAATTTTTCAACAGAAGTTATTTTCTGCGAAAAAATATGCGTGGCACATGAAATACGCATGTGTGCAGTGGCGCAGAATTCCCCCAGGAGTATAACAGGTGTGTGACATTATCTAGGGTACAATCTGGACTGTTGAACAGCTGTGTCCCCTCAATTCTCCAACCTGGGGTTCCTTTTACACTGCTTTGCTGTGAGAGCAACCACTCACAACACAACCTCCAGCATGTAGATTACTCCCAGCTGTATTGTGAATGCTATAGCCAGCCACTCCTGAATTATATTGCGGAGCAACACCAGCAAATTCCCAGTCCTAGACTTGTCCTCAGAAATGTGCGTCTCGCATTACCCAGCCCTCTCTTGGGCAATACAAGTTCATATAAAGTCTGTCATTTTATTAATAGAAAATGATATCCACATATCCTGTTACCTCAAATGGAGTTTCCCAAACACTTCAGTCCAAACACAGCGGTCTAGATAAAACAATAAAATAAGTTTTAAGTACAGAAAGATAGATGTTAAGTGGTTACGAGAAAACAAAAGGTAAAACGCAACTAACATGTAACTTAACAAGCTAACTGAATTCAAAGCAAAGGTTTCTCTCACCACATGCTTTTGCAGTCTTACTGGCTGGATGCCTTTCAGCTAGGACCCCTCCCCCCAGTCCAATGCTTCTTTCCTTCTCCTTCAGGTGTTCTGGATGCCGTGGGCAGAGAGAAAGGGAGGAATCACTTGGTGTCTGTTCCCCACTCTCTCATATTTTTTCCTCCTATTTGAGAATGATCTCCAGCTGAGGTTCAAGAGACAGAATGTCTGTGGGTAGGAACCTCCAGCTGTTCCTTTGCCAATGTGTAAATTTCTTGCTCACACCCTTCTTTCCTGCCAGAGAATGGCCGCTTTAACCAGGTGATAGTCCTTTTGATTTTTGTTGACACCTGGCTGAGGCATCAGTTTGCCTTTTTATCTCTAAGGAACTGGTTTGTGCCTGCTTTTCTAAACTTGGAACATGCCTCAGTTATGTCATACAGTAGAATTTTATAACTTTATTATGATGTTGCCATATATTTTACTAGGACAATAATGATCAGCAAATTATGAGTTTTCAAATGATACCTCACAAAGCATACTTCGCACAAAATTTATCATAGTCTTGTAAAAGGGGTGAACATAACGGTACAGACTGTCACAATGTGGTATGGTAGATGCTGGCTATAACACCCTTCACAATTACAAACCTTGGGCTAAAGCGAACCTGATCTCTGGATCCCTCCTCCTGCCCCCGGGCCAGAGGAGCTCTCTGCCCTCCGCCGCAGCCCCAGCAGGGCTCTTTCACTATAACAAACCGCTGGCTATAATGAACAAATGGCTTGGATCCCTAGGGGTTCATTATGGCAAGGGTGTACTGTATTAGTATTTCTTGGGAACTATAGTAAGAGAAGATGGCTAGAGATGCTATGCTTCTTAGCTTAACCTTTTTTTTTTTTTTTTTTTCCCTCAAAAGGTATTTCATAGGTACTGATCTGTAAGACTCCAATAGTTTTCCCCAACCACTCTAATGCTAGAGTTTGTCTTTTATAGCTGCAGGAAGCAGCAAATAGGAAAATACAAACTGTTAACCAGTGAGAATTAAATCTAACTTGAAATAATCTTCAGAGGTGATTACCTGGGGCAGGTGCCATGCAAGTGTCTTCCCACACAGTTATGTATTGATTGGTTAATGAGCCAGAGAGAAGATAAAGCATCCCAGTGATTCTTAGATTAACTGATTTTTTTTTTTTTTTCTTTAAGTGGACATATGGCAATTTTTCTGTCAGTGCATGTGGAAGTGAGCCAAGATTTAATATCAGGGTCAAATGCAGTCAGCTATGTGGTAATCAGCTCCTGTAAAGGTAGTTACACAATCAAGCCACCTGTTTGTTCGGTGGAGATAAATTGATTCCTGCTAGAGAACCTGTCCTCATTTAGTAACACATTGTTGGAGCTCTTCAGAGATGCATAGTTACTGTAACTCTTGGCATAAGTTCAGCTTGAAGCTTGATGAACTGTAGAGTTCACTGCTTTCATGTTGTTTTGAATTGGCATCTACAAGCCAAATCTTGTATCATTTAGTTCTTCTTCAAATGATGGTCCCTGTATGTATTCCAAACACGGGTGTGCATGTGCACCAGGTGCTGGAGCTGGAAAGTTTTGCAGCAATGTCCGTTGGCCCTCACATGCAATTGTACGTAGCCTCGTGGTGCAGGCAAAATTATATGAGGCTGGGCAGGATGACGCCCCCTCAGTTCCCTCTTACTGCCGCATGGTCGGAATCGGAATCCTCGTTCCTCCGTGCTCATAGCTTGCTTGCGAGAACACTTGTCCATATACATATTTAGTGTTTCTTTTTTCTTTACTATATTTAGTTAGTGTTAGTTGGTTTAGTTAATTGACCCTCACCCCTCATTAAGTCTATATGAATGCTTACCACAGCTCACAAGTGTTTTGTTATGTGGCATGTGGTCTCTTAACACTTTGCTAGTTTGTATATAGTAAGAAAAACACGAACTACAGTTGTGTGTTGTAACTTAAGGTTTTTTGTTATAAACAATACTGTAAAAGACATACCACTCCTTTCAGTCTTATATAGCCTGCTGTAATCTCAAATTCAGTAGAGCCAAAACTGAACTTACCTTTTCTCCCGAGCCCTGTGCTATCTCCATTCACCGTTAATTGAGTCACACCTTAATTCTTCCTAACACTCTAGGCAGCATTAGGGTCATCTTTGATATCTACCCCCTCAACCAAGCTATGACTAAGTCCTAACCTTTCTTTCTTCGTCTCCAAAATTGAACTTTTCCTCCCTAGTCTAACAACTAAATTACTGATCCACTCCCAGGTCATCTCAAACATTCACTATTGCAATCTTCCTCCTCTCTGGTTTTCTTGTTACTAACCTCACTCCCTCATCCCACCCTGCAATCTATTTAAAAACATCTTGCCCATTGTTTCAATGAAGGGTTTTAGAAAATCTCTGAAAAAGGGAGAAGTGTAAAAATAAATTTAAATATTTACTTGCAAAATTAAGAATCAAAAATTGAAACTCTGGTCCTAAGTAAATCAAGCAAATTACTATGAATTAGACATTGACAAATGTACACAAGCGTAATATCATACACTGAATGGAAATTGATTGAAATTCTCCCAATACTCTTCCTACACCAACATGTTATCCTCTTCTTTGTACACAGAATTAGTTGCAAACTTTAAATATTGTGTTCGCACGTCTTGTAGTCTTTGTTGAGGGAGAGGATCAGAAGGCTACAACGGCCTCCATACTTATCTGTCTTAAACACAGCATTTTGCTGTCCTTCTCAGCATTTGATGATGAAATGGTTTCCACATCGGATGTCTCCCGCTATATCGAAGATCCTGGTTTTGGGTACAAAGACTTTGCCAGGCGGGGAGAAGAACATCTGCCAACATTCCGAGCTCAGGTACTTATATGCACTTATTTTTTTTAAATAAATTAACCCCAGCATTTTAAGGGCATGTCTGCATGAACACTTGCTGTGCAGAAAGCTGGGGGACAAATCGATAGCACACCAGCATGCCTTGCACTAACTGTCTGTGTGGACTGTGCTGCAGCACGCTAAAAGTTCCCTAGTGCCCTTTGATGTACTGTAGATTTATGCCCCAGTTTGCTGTGCAGCACGTGTTCATGCAGACATGTCCTAAGTCTTTCTTTACTGGAAAAATAAGATGTCGTAGTAGCAGAACATCCTTATTAAATGTCCATGTCCAAGCAGAGGATCAAGAGCCTGTCTACAATGAAAAGTTAGATCACCATTGCTAAATCCCTCGGGGGTGTGAAAAAGCCACACCCCTGAGACACACAGTTAAGCTAACCCAACCTCTGGTGTAGACAGCGCTAGATCAATGAAAGAATTCTTTCAACCTAGCTACCACCTCACAGGTGTGGATTACCTACAGCAATGGAAGAACCCATCCGCTCAATGTAGTGTGTGTTTCTACTGAAGTGCAGTGCTGCAGCTGTGCCACTGTCATGTTTTAAGTGTAGACATAGCCCAAGTAGATAACTGCTCCTTATGGTATATTTTCATATTTGTAGCATTTTGTTCAGTCAGCTGTTAAATATCTCAAATGAAGAGGCTTCCATCACTTCACTTGGATGACTAGTCCACCCTCTGTTAATTGTAAACCTCAGGCCAGGGGGTACTAGGTCTTCTGTTGTGTTAGCAGAACAAGTGTATGTAATGGACATCTTTTTGTTATGTCCATGCAGTGCCTTGCACTATGGGGTCCTAATCCATGACTAGGACTCTTATGCACTATTGCAATACAAATAAAAAAAATAGGGACAGCTCTAGGTATTTAGAACAGATCACTGACTAACATCCATTTGATCTCCTGGGAATCTGATATTAATAAACTGCAAGTTATGGGAAAATCTTGAAACATGTCAGAGCACTTGTAGACAAACCAAAATAGGTGCAAAAAAATTCCTTGGTAAAGCAAAGGAGTCATGATTCCTGTCAGCAGACATACTTTGGGCTAGTCTACACTTGAAAGTTAATTTGGATTAAAGTAGAGTGTGAATTTAAAGCACAGTAGCTATTCCTGAATAACTCAATGTGTTGACAAGCCCTTAGATTTACAACAGTCTCTGCTGGTCAGGATGAATTCATGCTGCAATTTTTCATGTACAGTAAACCATGTTTTGGGAGGTGACGCAAATACCCCTTGGGTGTGTATTGTGGACAAGGATAAGGCAAAGTTTTTGTGTCTGAGATCAAAGATACTGCTGACCTTTCTATGAACTTTAGAAGGCTCCCCTGGGAGAAGGCTGACAATTGTCATTGACTTGAGACAACGTTAGGCATGTACAGCACTGCTTCAGAAGAGCTTTATGGAAGGTTGCACTGAAACTGAAATGTCTCTGCCTGCAGGCAAGGATTTTAAATTACTGACTTCCAACTTCAAAAGTTTCACCTTCTCCAAAATAGCTAACTTGTTTAATAGCTGAATGATGGTAGAATGTGAGACCTTTTACCCAAATCAGATCTTCTATTGTAACAATTATATTACAGAATCATCCAGGGGCCCCAGTGATGGAGCAAAGCCTTATTGTGCTAGGTAGGCACTTCATGAATATAGGATAAGATAATACCTGCCCCAGAGAGTTTGTTTGAAGTAATATCCTGTGAAAGTGTTGCTGCTAAGGCACAGCTGGCAGCATTTTTCAAACTAACTCTTTTCCTTAGTCATTGGTGCAAGAGTGAAGTCATGTCTCTAAGGAACAACACATCGCCATGTTTCTGCTCTGGCTCATAGCTTTCTAAAGCAGCAGTCTCTGAATAATATCAGTGTGAATATTTTCCAGTCTGAACCAAATCTGCAGGACCTAAGGACTAAAGCAAAACTGACCAGGGAAAACTTACTGATTAAAATCCTCCTTTTGGGGGGGGAGGGGCAGGCACGCAGGTGAATTAATACATTAATAAAGCAGAATGAGAGACAAAACAGAGAACAAGATCTTCAACTGGGGGAGAATCCAGAGGGAGGATCAGGTGGGGAAGGCACTATTTGCATATTTATGCATCGCTGGTGTATTTCTTTGTGCTCTTACAGGACTATACCTGGGAAAACCATGGCTTCTCCCTTGTGAACAGGCTTTATTCTGATATTGGGCATCTCCTGGATGAGAAGTTTCGGATGGTCTACAATCTCACATACAACACTATGGCTACACACGAAGATGTTGACACAACCATGTTGAGAAGAGCTTTATTTAACTATGTTCACTGTATGTTTGGAATCAGGTATGTAACAAATTGACCTGTCTAATAAGTGTATTTGGAAGCATGTAAGTAAAATATATTTACTTTGGGACAGGAACACATTAGGTCTTGATCACACTAAAGCAGTGTTTTAAAATTGGTGTCTGTGGCTTTTAAATTTGTTTCTGCAGTGAAATTGTTACAAATACTGGTAGTAGTATAATTTAATCTCTCTATTTTAAAAAAATTAGTTGGTATTACAGAATCAAATTAGGATTGATATTTTTACGGAAATCTGTCTTCTCTGAACTCATGGACGACATTGTCAGTTCAGAAAAAAGGAAATACCACCCTATTTAAAAGGCTCTTAGGAACTGAGTAACTTTTGTTCTTCTTTGAGTAGTATCCCTATGGGTTCTCCATGTCCAGAGGCGCAAATGCACAGTCGCTGTTGATCAGTGATTTGTCAGCAATGTCTGTGGGTCCATGCCTGCTCCCCAGATCCTTTCATGCTCTGGTATGGGGGTATATAGGTAGGGTGCAGACCCACTGCCACTCCAGTTCCTTCTCAACCACCTATGTCATGAGGTGGAACATCATTGTGTCCGTTAGCTAGCTGCATAGCTTGCTACCTCTCTCACACGTCTTTTCTTTTCTCAGTATATTCTTTATTTTTGTTTTGTTTTTGTTTTTTGCACTGTTTGTACTTTTTTGGGGGGGAGGGAGTGTAACCCCCTTCTCTTATTTTGCCTCCCCCATGCTGATGATTTCAAGGCCATTCAGGACCTTTCTGTAGCAGAAACCCTGCATATTCCATTATGGGAAACACAAGAATACCAACATTCCCTGTTGGACGTTCTTCATTCATCTGCTGCCGGCAAAATCACCTTGCCCATCAATGATGATCTGCTGACCTCTGTGTGGCAAACTCCAATTACTATACCAACTATGTGTAAATGGGCTGACAGAAAATACTACCTCCCAGCCAAAGGCTCAGAATATTTTTTTCCCCTCACATTCTGAACCCAACTTCCTGGTCCATAGAGGCAGTTATTGAACGGAACAGATAACATTGGTTCCACTCAACACCATCCAACAAAGAGCTGAAAAGACTGGACCTTCTGGGATGCAAGAGCTACTCTGCTTCACTGCCGTTCAGAGTAGCTAATTACCACGCCCTGATAGCAAAATACAATTTTACAAACTATTGCAAGTTCATCTTTTATTGAACTCTGCCACATGATCACGGAACAATTTCAAGCCCTCATAACAGAAGGCCTGACAATCAGCAAGGCATCTTTCCAGGCCTGACTCAATGCCACCGATATAGCTTCAACATTCCCTGGCTACAGAAGTAGCCATACGCCAAGTTTCTTGGCTGCAATCCTCTGGTCTGCCTCAGGAGGTAGAAAACACAGTTGAGGATCTTCTTTTGAAGGACCCAAGTTGTTTTTTGAAGCCATGGATAGGTCTCTTTGTTCTCTTTATAGTGTCGCCCAAGAGTCTTTATCTCTGGGCATCTATACGCTTGTGGCAAAGAAAAAGTACAGTAAATTGCAGATGGCTCAGCAGTCTTACCCAGAATGTCCGAGCCCCCGAGAAAGAAGCCAGGATAACAAAGAAAAAGGGCTGTCCTTACAATAGTCTTCCAGTCAGCAACATCCTTGAAAGAACTGGTTTTTGAACCTTTGGTCCAAGGTCACAAACTGTCCTGCTCCTCATCCTACGCTGTGTGTATTCTCTCCACCCCGCCATTGAGATTGTCTCCCTTTTCCTACCTTCCTGAGAGCTCATCACCTCAGACAGGTGGATTCTGAAGATAGTTTCTACAGGTTACTCCATCCAGTTCAGCTCCTCCCCACCCACCCCCAACTTCTTCCTCCCTCCCTCTTCAGGGACCCCTCTCATGAGAATCATTTGAGATATAAAATATAATTCCTCCTAACACTGGGAACAATCAAACCTGTTCCACCAAAATTCATTGGAAAAGGGTTCTTCTGCAGCCTGGTGTCTCCCACAATTCTGGACATCTAGCCGATCATCTCTCTGAAGATTAGCGTTTTGGCATTGTACAGTCTGCTCCTACTTGCTGCCGGATTCTCTACCTCTGCAGGAGCAAGTAGACAGTGGTGGTTTCTTTTGCTTCCATCTCTTTTCCTTCTATTTAAATTTTTTCTGCCCTGTTTTTGGGCAGTGGGGAGCAGTGTTCTCCCTCCTTAGCATTCCTTCTCTCTGGATCAGTTAATCTTTTGGGGGCTTAACTCTCCCTGAGCCTCTGCTGTAGTGTCTCCCTGCTGGCTCCTCTGTCCCTTACAGGCATGGGAGAGCAACCAAAAAGCACCGGGTTAAATCCAAGCAGTGCTCTATTTGTGAGGCAGCCCTCTCAGGCTTGGAACATGGTGAGGTATGCACCCCTAACTGCATTAGGTCCCAAGGCTGCCAGTCAGACAAGCAGGTATAGTTCCCTGCCCACCAAGGCAGCTGCAGCTTCAACAAGGGAAATTTGGACCAGGAACCAAAAGTGAGGAGGATCCTGACCATTCGACTAGGTGGGTAAGTCCCAGAGGACCCCTGCAGAACAAAGAGGGGAGGCTTGCGAACCACAAGTGTCCACCCCCTGCCCCCATGCTAAAGTGGGTCCTGAGCACCCCGGGAAGAAAACAGGGTTTCTAATCAGCCCTTCTCGCTGTCAGCTTGAGAGAGAAAGTCCCCACCCTTCTCCCAGGGGGAATGGGAACCAGTGGTGGAGGATTCTGAGGCAGACATCTCAAGAGAGCACCAGGCCCTAAGGAAGGCAAGCTACAAAAGGCTCACCAAAGTCACAGCAGAGTGTCCATGCTCCTAAAGCATCCAAAAAGGTTTTTTGTTTAATTTAAAAAAGGGGGGGGGTTAAGGGGGAAACACCCCAAAAAATCAGGAGATGTGTCATCCTCCATCACCACTGAGGAAGGTGAACTGTCTGGCTGAAACTTGAGCAAGCCCCTGTGAGTAAGCCTCAGAGTATATATTTTTCCCCCCCCTCAAAATCTTCTCCTGGTGCTGCACTATCCCTTCACTTCTTCTTTGAGGAAGTGATTAGGGATGAATGGAATAAGCATGATAAGGGCAAGCATATTAATAAGATCTACCTGAGGCTATATATCATTAAAAACCAAAAGGCTTTATTGCTGAGATAGTGAAGGTTGATGCTGCTGCTGTAGTGTCCCTCATCAGGGATATGGTGGTTCCCTCAGAAGGGGAGAAAGATGGAGGCTACTCTCAAAAAGATTTTTTTGAAGCCTCCTCCAAGCATCCCTGGCAGCTACCTGCTTTGCAAGAGCATCTCTTTCCTGCCTAGAAGATCTCAAAGCCCTTAACGACAGAGATTCCTTGACTGCACCTTAGAGTCTCCCTAGCAACAGCATTTGTAGCAGAAGCCTCAATGGATGCAATGGGGTTTTCAGCCTGAGCCATGGCTTCCAGCCAGACACCACCTTGGAAGATGGATACTCAATCTAAGCAGGTCATATGCTCAGTCAAGCTTACAGGCTCCCTCCTTTTTGGAGAAAAGTTGGAGAAGATGGTGGCTGAGAGCGTGGCAAGTCCAAACACACTGTCCCTTCCCAATAAGTTCCCTAAGGAGAGAATATAGGTCAGCCTTCAGACAGAAGCTGTCCTTTCCCCATTCTCTGAGGTACTAGCAAAGGGACAACAGATTCCCCAAGGGAAAACAGTGGAATCAAGGTCTGGGGCACAAGTCCAGAGGGACCTCAGCCCCCCACCTTTTCCCCAAATCCCCTTTATGACAAGTATCACATAGGCATCTGCCCAGAGCTGTAGTGAAGGGGCAGGATTTCCCATTTCCCAGAGAAATGGTTTTCATCAACCACAAACAAGTGCATCAGGGAAATGGTGAGCCAGAGAGAGACCCTGAAGCTGTTGACACCACCCCATCTGTTTTTCATCTGCTCATCCAGCTCCAGTGACCCCGTAAAACACTGTAACAAAATATCTCCTCTTCTGGATATGGGAGTGACAGAGAGTGTTCCCTCAGAAAAACGGTTCTCTGGGTTCTAATCCATTTTTTGCATTCTACAGAAGCGCACATGAAGAAAATGACTAACTGTCTGTGTGGACTGTGCTGTGGCACGCTAAAAGTTCCCTAGTGCCCTTTGATGTACTGTAGATTTATGCCCCAGTTTGCTGTGCAGCACGTGTTCGTGCAGACATGTCCTAAGTCTGTCTTTACTGGAAAAATAAGGTTCTCCTGGGAGAACTTCATTAAACATTTTCAGTAGCGAACACTCCCATTTAGCCTGTCCTCTGCCCTCAGGGTTGTTACAAAGGTGGTGGTGGTAATAGCCAGACTCAGGTTGCAGGGACCCTTTCCTGAACGACATCCCAATCAGAGCTTCCATTGCAGTCAGCAGCTTGCAGGGTTACCTCTTGGACGTTGAATCTCTTCCAGGCACACAGCTTCATCATCATCAATGCCATCTAGGAATGTTCTTGCTCTAGAGCTGCAGGAGGCCTGCCATACCACTATGCCTCCCAACTGCTAGGACTCCTGGTGTTGTGCCTAGGCACTACTCCATGGGCACAATCATGCATCAGAAGCCTTCATACCTAAGGTCTGGGACCACTCCTCAAACACAATGACGATCAAGTACAGGTTCCAGCACTGGCGTTCATTTCCTTACTGGGGTGGTCAGCCCGCAGCAATGGCTGCAAAGGGCATGCCCATAAGCCTTCCAGATCCTTTTGTCCTCACAAGTGAGACTAGCTGGAGGGCTGAGCAGAGTGCACTTGGAGAACCAAACAGCCCAGGGCCTCTGGAACATAACCCTCCTAGAGCTGAAAGCAAACCAGTTAGCTCTTCGAAGGTTCCAGCCTATCCTAAGGGGGAACCACATCCTAGTTCAATCAGACAATACAACTACAGTCACCTGTTTAAACAACCAAGGGGAAACGAGTCCAGCACTACATGTGAAACCAGTGGTAATAATGAGGTGGGCAGAACGGTTCCTCTTTTCCCTCAGAATGATCCCCATCACAAGGTTCCT